ATAGAACACTACAAAGTACAAAGAAACACATTCATCATGGCAAGGGGAGAGGACAGAGAGCAGCTTCTTCAGGAGGTGTCAGACCTGGACCAACAACTGCATTCCTTTGTCGCCAACAACTCTACGGAATATGGGGAACCTCAGGAGGAAGTCAAAGGCTGCAAGCGCTTCCTGAAAGCATTACAACAAGTGAAGAATATCACAATAGAGCCAATTCTCTTCTTGTATTTGCTCTCCTGGACTATTCAGTCTTCTATTTCTACAAATCTCTTGTTAGATAAGGTGAGTGAATCCTTTAGTTTGTATAGGGAACACTTGAAATGTTTCTATTTGTATTGTTTAACCCATAAAATGTGAGGGTAAGACTCAGATAAGTTTTCTTCTCATCAGATGATTCCCTGAACATTCATCTTCAAGGTAAAGAAAAAATGGATAAACAAAAGTATATTTTTGTATGATTTGTTATGCACTATGAGATGGGATAAGTTTACATTCCTTGGCTATCTGAACAAGGTGGATCTTTATCTTTAACTATGTTCTTTGCAAATTATTCTACTCCAGCTGAATTTTCATGACACTCATTTGTACCATTATGATGTAGAATTTATATCATCAATGGTGAGATAAGTCAAAAAAGTAAAATAAAGAAGCTAGTAGTAGTAGCAGTAGCAGAATAGCAGAGAAATGATGATGATATTATAGATAATATTATAAATAACAATAACAATAGTGATAATGATGATAATAGTAACCTTAGTGATATTAATACTGATTATTATTAGTAGAATTAGTAGGAGTAGTAGCAGTAGTAGTAGTAGTAGTAGTGTTTTTGCAATAGGGTGTTTTGTATTACTGTTATTATTATCCTTCATGTTTTAGGGACAGTTTTAGAAATTTCAATAATTATATATTTGCTTTTTTTTAGGAAGTCCTGCATATGTGTGATGTGGACAAGGCAGTGGAATTTGGAATTCATGGGAACTAATATTTTGGAAAAATAAAGACATGAAGGTCAGGCAGTATTATTAAAAAGATCAGATGAAAAAAACTGCCAAAGATTCTAGTATGTTTTACAACATTATAGAAGTTTTTTGTATATAATGGTAATGATGATGATGGTAACCACTGTTGTTATTGATTTATTAATTTTCTAATCTCAGACATAAGATCTCTTGGTAAACTGAAATCCTTTGACTCCTATGATTATTTAGCTATTATTTGTTTAGTGTCATTTACAATCTATTATAAGAATTATTTTTATTTACATTTTATTTTGTAGTTATTATTTAGTTTTTAGTTTCTGTATTATGTAATGTTATTTCTTATAAATTACTGTAATTGTTATTTAATCTTTGATTGTGTAAAACTCACTGCAATGTGTAAGTTTCATATTAGAGGTATTTCTCCTTCAAGTTGAGTCAATTCTGATTTTATGAATTCCAGGTGTGTATTGAAAAGAATTACTCCAGTGAAATCTGTGCAAACCTATCATCGTACCCAAACAACCAGATTGAGGTACAGCGCGTTGTCACGAAGATCAACATGTACATGGACTTGCTCACTAACATACCGTCAGTATTGTTTGTGCTATTCTTGGGGTCTTGGAGTGATAAGCATGGGAGAAAGCTGCCGATGATCTTGCCGTTGGTGGGGAGTCTACTGTCGACCGTGTTGTATCTTGTAAGTATGTTTTATTTGATGCTGTGGTTCATCTTGATTGTACTTCATGAATATTGATGCTGTGTTTAAAGTGTATTGTACTTTGATCATGTGATACTATGCTTTTTACTCTATTTATACCTTGTGATTACTATATTCCTGTACCATGTATCATGTCAGTATTATGCTTTTGCAATATGGTATGATTTGAGTTTGTGTGATATCCTGCTCTTAGACATATACTTGTATACATGATTTAACTTAATTATACGTAATTTTGATGCTGCTTCATTTGAAATTGATCTGTTGGTAAATATCTCAATTATTTTCAGATGAATGCATATTGGTTTAGTCTTCCTGCCCTCTATATTCTTCTGTCTGGAGTGCCTCGAGCTCTGACAGGAGGTTTCATCACCATGATAATGGCATGTTATGCATACATATCTGATATAACCAAGATAAGGAGTCGCACGATGCGTATTGCGATTTTGGACCTTTTCATGTTTTTGGGAGCACCTCTAGGACTGCTTTTAAGTGATGTCACCTTTTATTCCCTTGGATATTTGGGTATTTATGGGTTAAGTGCCTTGCTGTTTCTGATAGCAATTTTATATGCCATTCTGCGGATTGAAGATACAAGAGGCCGCTTTTCTAAATACCACTTGGAAGCGTCTGAACTGGCACAGACTCCAGGAAATATGTGCAAAGACTTAGTGGACATTAACAACGTGAAGAAAAGTATTGCTGTCTGTTTTAAACCTCGGAGGCACAAACTTAGGACCAAGATTTTGTCACTAATGGCAGCCATGTGCGTCCTTGTTTTTGTGTTTGGTGAGTCTTGCTTTAGATTTTATTGTTTTATTGTATCAGGGATTCTGTTTGTAGTTAACTTTTTTATTTGTATCTGTATATTATAGGTATTGATACTGGATGGTTTAAATGCTGTCAGATTTTGAAAAGTCTTGTTCATACAGTACCTTGTTTCAGGTACTACTGGTGTTGATTATCTCTATACAAAGAGAAAATTTGGCTGGACCTACGACCAGTATGTCCATCTTGGCCTTGTAGAAGTTTTTGTTGGTGTTGCTGGTGAGTTTTAGAGTTTTGATTTTTATATGAAGTGTATTGGATTAAAAAGCTGAGCATCCATTTTCTCATACTTCTCATACTTTTCATCTTTCAGAAATCTGTAATTTACAAAATGGTTTGTAAATTTGATATCATCATAGAGATATTTGCTAAATTTCTGTATTTTTTATCTTGCATATGTATTGATATTGCACATTTTTATAGTCAAGTGTTTAGGAATGCATATGTAAGGGGGGAAGGATGTTCATAAAGTGAAATTACCTTCAAGAAGAAAAATAATTCCAGGAAATTCTGTTGTGCTGCCTTTGGTGAGCTACAAGCTGCAAGTTGATGATTCTGTGATTGGCTTTGTAGGAAGCTTGTTCAAGATAGCTAGCCTTATAATCAAAGGTCTTGCAGCACAACCATGGATGCTGTACCTGAGTGAGTGTCCTTAATTCTTTTTGTCTTTTACTTTTTCTCTCTTGCTTCATCTGTACTCTTCTGTTTACATGTCACATATATCTATATTTTCTGCTGTTTTCTTGATTTCTTTTCTCAGGTTTTCTCCCTTTTTTCTCTTCATATTCAATATTTCATTTTCTCTTTCACTTCTTTTTTCCTCATTATGTCCATCTCTTTTTCTTTCATCTTCTCTTTAACTCATTATCTACTTCTCTACCTTCTTCTGGTCTTCTTTTTCATCAGTAACTTTTACTTTTTCAATTCCATGTACTGTACTTCCAGTACCATATTTGAATTGGTTTTTGTAGAGGTGTCAATTCTTATTACTACTCAAAAATTACTTCATTTTTATGCTATTGTGTTTATGAATACCCATAACAATATTTTCTTCCATCTGTTTGGTCCTTTATTGAAAGCAATTGTAGATATTAAATTAATATTATGATTTCCAGGTTCCTGTGTCAACTTCCCAGGAGGATTGCCGTTAATCATCATACGATCCATGATGAGCAAGATCATTCCGTCAGATGAGTTAGGCATGATATTTTCCATGCTGGCATCGTGGGAATCTATTCTGCCACTGGTCTCTCACCCTCTGTGTACTCTTGTGTATAATGCTACCATCAAAGATTTTCCTGGAACAGTCTACCTCATGAGCTCTCTATTCGTTGTGATTTCTACTGGAATCTTTGTGTGAGTATTTTTTACACAATTTGTACATTGTGTTTGTGAAGATTTTACTATTCCTGATATGGATGTAAAGAAAATGGGTATGTGGATAATGTGCTTGAGATATAATGATGTTCAGGAGATATATGATCATTTTAGCATATGGAGTTGTATGGAGTCATATATATATATTTTTGTATTGTTACAGATGGTTGATCAAGAATAGAAATTTCACATCACCTGAACCTCACGTTCATGAAGATGAGATCATTCAAAGTGTCGAAAGCTGAAAAAGTCTACTAGAATATGAGCTCTAAAACGGATTGCTAAGGGCATTAAAACTCAGAAATCATCTGAAAGAAGGTTACAAAAAATGTGTAGGGAATCTTTGAAAACAACTGGAAATTGTTGTTTATAGATGTGAGTCATGAAATGTAGTTTTTCAAGTAACGTCCATTATCTGACAGGGATGTGGTCCACAGAAATCAGCCAATATAATCTTTCCCACAAGACTTGAAAGTTAAGAAGGGTTGGGTTTTGGCTACTATATCTACCCTAGAAAAATTAAATGAATAGGGAAAGTATACCACTAATTATCACTTAACAGTGACTGGCAGACCCTCTTACGCAGTCTACCTGTTCAATCGGTTCACAGGCCCTGGCATGAAATCATTGATGTACCAGTGGTGTGCCAGTAGTTGACAAGGCTCAGCTTATTCAGTCTATTTCCTACTTAATTTTCGTGTGTTTTTCTCTTTCTTTTATTTCTTTTTTTCTTTTCTTTTTTTTAGTCAATAATGATAGGTCTACATGTTACTATTATGAATATGGATCTCCTGATCAATTTCAGTCTGACATGTAGGCAGACTGGCACAGGATGAATGTCAGAGCAAAGAAATATCAGATAATGGGCTTTACTTAAATTTATATATGAAATTCACGGGTAATTAATTATGTGAAAGGTGCCAAAGTTTCTTATGATATGAAGTAGTAATGTTAAAAAATTATTGCATGTCGGGCAAATGTGTTGTAATACTGAATGTAATTTCTTATGTACATTATATGCTTGTCCATGTGTGAGTGTGTGTGCACGTGTGTGAGTGTGTGAGTGTGTGTGCACGTGTGAGTGTGTGTGCACGTGTGTGTGTGTGTGTGTGTGTGTGTGTGTGTGTGTGTGTGTGTGTGTGTGTGTGTGTGTGTGTGTGTGTGTGTGTGTGTGTGTGTGTGTGTGAATATGCACATGTGCACACATACATAAACACACACATACACATACACGTGCACACATGTGCACACACTCACATACATGCGCACGCACGCATGCACACACACACACGCACATACATGCACACGCACACACACACACACACACACACACACACACACACACACACACACACACACACACACACACACACACACACACACACACACACACACACACACACACACACACACACACATACATAACAGATATATAATTAGATGTGTGAGTATATATATATATGAATTTAATATACTTGTATAGAATATATATAATATGTATGTAAATATTGATAATTCTAATTTCTTTTTAGTGTTTTATATAGTTTCCTCAGAGTGAGGAGGAGAGTCTCAAGTAAGTTATATATTTTATATGTAAAGTCATTACATAAACAATATTTTCAGTATTGTTTTATAGTGCAAAGATGACTCTGTGCCAGCTGTAAGTGGGTGTCGATTCTTAGTGTACATACATTTAAGTATTGAAGTTGGTTTTGTGAAAGCCAATGTGAATTATGAAGTCCAAAAGAGAAATTAACTAATTACTACCATTTTTAACAGTGGGCGGAATGTGTAAGAAAATGTCTCATTCTCTTCCTTTCTCTCTCATTCTCTTTCTCTCTCTTTCTCTCTTTTCTTTTCTCATTTCTCTTTCTCATTTTCTCTTTCTCATTTCTCTTTCTCTCTCTCCTCTTCTCTTCTCTCTCATTCTCTCTCTCATTCTCTCTCTCTCATCTCTCTCTCATTCTTTCTCTCTCTCTCTCTCTCTTCTCTCTCTCTCTCTCTCTCATTCTTTCTCTCTCTCTCTCATTCTTTCTCTCTCTCTCTCTCTCTCTCTCTCTCTCTCTCTCTCTCTCTCTCTCTCTCTCTCTCTCTCTCTCTCTCTCTCTCTCTCTCTCTCTGTGTGTGTGTGTGTGTGTGTGTGTGTGTGTGTGTGTGTGTGTGTGTGTTGTGTGTGTGTGTGTGTGTGTGTGTGTGTGTGTGTGTTTTTGACACATACTCACTCACTCACTCACTCACACATTCACATGCATTCACTCACATTCACAGACACTCAAACTCACACATACACACTCACTCACTCACATCCACACATGCTCACATGCATTCACAGTCACATACATGTATATGAAGTTTTGAAATGTGTTTTATCTAGTGAGTCTCTGAATGTTGTATTCAACTAATTTTTACAGAGATTTTTGTGAATTTATTTACGAATGTGATAAATTTTGTTGTTATATTAGTACTTTATATAATTTTGTAACTGATAAAGTAGTAAGCAAAGATTGAAGGAATTAAGCTTTCTATTGGTACATGATAAAGTAAATTTAGTATCTAAATATATATGAATTTGTAGCATGATACCATAAAGTATAAAGGATAGCATATGTAGGAATTATAGGTTATTAGAGTATCATAAACCTCAAGCTATGTACTAAAACTCTCAGGTTAAGTATTATGCAATAAATACCTGTACTATAGTTTATTCAAAGAAAACATATTAACTTTTTGATAAAAGTTTCCACAAGAAACACTCCCATTTAAATTTTCAAGTCTCTTCATTCATTTTATTAGAAATGACTAAGTATGCATGTTTTTTTTATTATTAAAAAAAAAATACAAGAATGTGTTCTGACATTAACAGTTCTCAGGAAATTGTTTAGTCATCATTGTTGTATTATTGTTTAATGCTCAGTGCTGTAGTTTTCTTGCCAGATATATTTGTATGATGGTTTCCATGTTGATATTAGTTCTTACAAGCTTTCATTTACTGCTTATTGCATTTTATTTATTCAACATGGATATGTATTTTTAGTCACCTCGGTACCAATTTACGTTAAAACGTAAAGTATAGGGTTTTCTTTATATTGTATGTGTAAACTTTTGAAAAAAGTTTGCTATTAAATAATATTATTGTAAATGTGCCATTTTATTTTTGCATCCTGTGCATTTGTTGAATTGATATCCAACTAAGGTTTTACATAAAATTCTTCATATGAAATTTTTATGCATCAGGTTGTGATCACCTCCATATAATATGAACTTCTGAGATCAGCAGCTCTTTGGTCCACCAATGATTTGAAGGTAATGATTTTGTGTTCCACTGATATAATTTCAGGTTTACTGATAACAGATGTATTTTTTGTAGTCACTGTCTAAAAATGGCATATTTAGATAAGAAGTATGTGAAATTCAGACATTACTGAGTAAATGTTATACCTACATTGGTTAAATACCAAAAAGAATGTAATATTTAAACTAAATTTCTGCAGACACCTTTCTGCTTGATTCATCCCTAACTGAAATATCATTATTGATGATAAAACCAGAATCTCACTATGTTTTGCCATCCCAGCAGAGATTCCTCTTGCTTCCGATGCTGTATATTTTTTTCAACAAACTGACTGGGACTCTTGCATTTTCCTTCTGTGGGAAATTGGAACTATCCAAAGATTTGTTGTCGTATACTCTCTTTATTACAATTAGGATTCTTCATGGCATGGGCCTTTTTGTTTGTAAACTCGACATGAAAGAGATGCTCTTTGCCAAACTTGCTCCTGTGTCGGACATTTGTCCTTGATGAGAGATGTGATTGAGCTGGCTATGAGATGTCTGTTGGTTCCTATGGTTCGGAACCTGTTCCGGGACTTTGCAAAGTCCCAGAAACAGGATTTCTGGGTCTTGGTACCAGAGGTCTAATCCACAATGTTGGATGTGGTACAGCGATGCGGGTAATGCAGCCAAGGAGATCGACCACTTCCTCGTTAGCACTCGTTGGAGGATCCTCTAGAAGTGTAGGGTGTACAGGAGTGCCGAGATATGTGGCTACCCTCCGTGTCCACTTGAAAAGTCCCCGTTGATCCAATGACAACCCTTGGCTATTTCATCTGGAGGGAGGGAGTGTGCCTGGGGGTTTGCTGAGGCACTCTCTGGTCATTTCACAGTGCTCGCCAACCTGATGGACCTTGTAGTTCTGTGGGACACCTCCAAGTGTGAAACGCTCGATGCTGCTCAAGAATTGATTGGTGAACACCCAAGAACAATACAGAATTTCATCTCGCAGGAGACACTAGAAGCCACAGAAGCTTGTTGTCTAGCTCGTTACACGCATAATTGCTGCTGCGACTTTGGATACTTTAAATCTGCCCGATTCAGTGTTCATATTCTTCTCTGTAGCGATGTATGCGGCTTCCATGACCTTCCGTTTATGTTTGTTCAACCCTTCATGGATTATTTCAGCTTCCGTCCAGTTCGGTAGATGTCTAAGCTTTATCTACATGAACCACCATGGCATTGGAAGTCTTGTGGTGATGGACGTCGGCTCGATGTTCGTTAATCCTGGTGTTGAAGCCACGTCCTGTTTCATCAAAGTAAGCCTTATCGTAACTGCTGCAGGGTATGCAATATACTGCACTGTTGGGGTTGCTTTTCAACTACTTGTCTCGTATCATAGCATGTATCTTTCCTCCGAATGTGCTGGCGATTTTCAGTATTTCCAAAGTATTTGCTAATCGCCTGGGAAACGTTACATGGAGTCAATACGAATTAATTTCATATGAAACCTCAGTCTCAAGAAATTCAGGGCTGCAGATCCTCAGTGCCCGGAGGAAGCCAATTACAACCCCAGATTTTGTTTTATTACTGTGGGCGGAGTAGTAGTGGATGTAATCGTCTTTATTCGTAGGCTTTCTGGACACAGAGAAACGTAGGCCGTCGTCACCCCGATGGATCAGAGTGCCCAGGAAAGGTAACTTCTGATCCACTTCCTCCACGGTGAACTGGATTTTATCGTGGACGGAGTTCAGCCGCATCAGCGTATGGTGTAGACACGACCTTCTGGGGACGATGACGAGGATATCTACGTATCGAAGCCAAGTTGTGTGCCTGCCGATGATATCCCTGTAGTGGTCCCTTTCTAATGTTTCCATGAAGAAGCTGGCCAGGATTGCGCTTAAAGGGGAGCCCATGGCAAGACCACAGATTTGTTGGTACTCTTCCTCTGCGAACTCGAAGAAGCCGAAGTCCACACACAACTTCACGAGGCCTATGAAGTGGTGCTTAGGCAGCGGAAGTTCGTCATCTGCCATGGAGCCGGTTACCGTCTCGACCACCCGGATTGCTCCATCTGTGGGTACATTCGTAAATCGGGATTTTACATCAAAACTAGCCAGTTTCGTATTTTTACATGCAAAACTCTGTAGACGTCTGATGAGGTCCCCAGAGAGCAATTTCCACTTTCATTTTGAGACCCCCGACCAGTATATAACAATCTTCATGGCCTGTTCTATATGTTATCTTTTCAGATTCAGTTATCACTAATGTAATTGAGTCAATAGCTATGGGACAAGAACACTTCATAGAAAGATTCTAATTTATTGACATATGAAAGATAATTATATATAGGTACATTAACTTAATATGTAGGTACATTAACTTCGACGTCATAGTTTTCTTAGCTCCATGGCCCCCAAGAAAGTACCCCGGGGCTCCCAGGTTGGGAACCCTTGGTCTAGAGCACTAATCTGATTTTGAATTAGGCTGTTTTGCCTCGAGTGACTGGTGCTAGAATCACTAACGATTATTGTTGGCTCAGAATAGTCGCTGGCAGGTGAATATATTCCCAATCGCAAACGATCGATCATATGAAGTGTCTGCGTCATCCTGGCTCCCATGTTTTCCGATGAACATGATGAGACCCTTGTGAAGGATTGATTTATGCAATCAATTTCTGAAATAATTCCTCTGCATTCCTGAAATCAAGCATCAATATTTTTAGTCCCTTTTCTCCCGTACATTTCATCTTCCCTCTCTTCTAATGAAGGATCGGGTTATGCAATCAATTTCTGAAATACCTCTGCATTCCTGAAATCAAACA